AAACATGGTTTAAATTTCTGAGTGGATCGTAAAATGAAATTTATAGTATTTGTTCAGCTATTGATTTTCAGTAATATTAATGAAATAGTTTTATAAGCTACATTAATAACAATCTGATTAAAATGTAGATCTATATTTTGTTTCGTTTGTTTTATACTTTCGATGGCCTATTTTGTTTCGTTTGTTTTATACTTTCGATGGCCTATACACTACATGAAGATCTGACCGGTAGTAGTGGAAGGTCTTGTTAGCTGTCATACGAGCGACATTTGGCCCTATGATGTCAGACATTTGATTAACCAATCAGCGATGATGTTTCTAGTGGGTTACCCACATTTCCGTGAACCTCGCGCCAAAATCTTGCCGTAACAGACCGTTTCATTGGCTAATCCCTCACATCATCCAGAATGCGGGTTTTATAACAACTCTTCCAGATCCTAGTGTAGTAAAGATAAGTAAAAAAAACGAAATGAAATAGGATCTGTGTTTTAATTAGATTTCACTAATAATAAACATTAAAATTGTGCCAATCAGAAGGGTTTGTGGAATGTAAAACAAAACAATATATTAGTTTGTGTTTAATTGCAGGGCAACAAATGTTTAATCATTTTCTAACTCAGCTTTCGGGGGTAGGTCCCTTTGTAATGAAACCTTGTTAACACTATAATAGAAGCTATAATTACTATCCAACTTTCTAAAGATGCGTAAAGATCTGTACGTGACAAGGAGTAGGAGCTCCCGTCCAACCTTGTGGGTTTTCTCTGGGTTCTCCAGTTTCATCACACTGCTAAAGACTCATACTCGCAAGTGAATTCTTGTAGTATAATGGGTCCTTTGTCAGACGTGGAAAGCGGGCAAACCAACTAAAACCAGTCACCACATTAATGACAGCTTCACGTTGGGATTGAATATATTCCGGCATCATAAATATCATCATCATATGCTACATAATTACAAACATTTTAATAAAGTCATTCTATCTAACCTGCTCCCATGCAGACTCAGCGATGGAAATTCCTACATCTTCTCCCTACGAGAACTACATGGCTGCCCAAATCCAGTTCCTTGTATATCCTAGATTTCCGCTACTAATTATTCAATTGGCCAAATATTACGTAATTAATTATAATGATTGGTCACTCATGCCAAATATGAAATGGTAACTTTCCTATCAAATGTTTTTAGACACAGAATCTATCCTTGAATTTAGACCCCCTTTCCTGTTATTCTCGCAATATTTCATAAACAATTTAATTTGTGTTTTAAATAAACCCATACCATAACTAATATACTTACATTGGAGAATAGAAATAAAACATATGTATTTATCAAATTATAACTCATGTCCCCTCATGCACTTATATTCGTCTAATACAATTTCACATAAATTATCAAATAGTACTACATTATTGATATAAAACTGAACCACTTGTTAATCCGGAAATGACTTAGTTTGTGTTGAGTGGAGTTAAACCCCATTTCTCTCTCTCTCTTCTCTCTCTCTGTCTCTCTCTCTCTCTCTCTCTAAATAAAAGGCATTGAATGAATTTGTGTTAAGTGGACGTTAAACCCCATTTCTCTCTCTCTCTATTTTAAAGATTTGTATAGGTTTTCAGACTATATGAGGAAGAATCCTATTGATTTTAGGTGATATCTTATGTTAGCTGTCAGAATTATGCCGCTGTTTAACAATATTAGGTTGGCAACATAGAAAGAAGAAGCCTTTTATGTTTGAAAGGATGAAGCCTTGCAATTTTCTCTGATGTTGATAAGTGCACCTATAAAACAAAGTTATAACTGTTAAGGCTGCAATTATCAAGTCTTGAAACTTTGTATAGGTCAACATGGGGTTGGGATGGGCTAGTGGTCTAGAGTGTCGCGCTTCGATCTCTAGCTGGCCGGTCACCTCTGGCTTGCGGTTGTTGTTTCGATCCCTGGTGGGAGCGTATATGTGGCTTGAAACATGGTGGGTTTACTCTGGGGACTCTACTTTCCTCCCACAGGAAAGACCCCTGTGCGTGCGCTGAGATAATAAACAATTAAAAAATAGGACAACTTGTCTGCGATATCACGGGGGGTTGGATGGCTGAATGGTTAGCATGTGCGCGCTGTATCACAAAATCTGTCATTGAGTCAATTGCCGTGGTTTCGATTCCTCGGTTGTATGTGACAAGGAGTAGGGTCGCCTGTCCAACCTCATGGGTTTTCTCCGGGTCCTCCGGTTTCCTCCCACTGCTAAAGACCCCTACGCGCATGCAAATTATTGAAATATAATTGAACCATATGTTAGTCCCAAAATGACCTAGTTTGTGAGTGGATGTTAAACCCCATCTCTCTCTCTCTGCGATATCACCCTCGGTGGAAGCAGACGTTAAACACCAAGAACAACCAATGTCCTACTTTTTTGGGGGGGTTGGGTGGCTGAATGGTTAGCACGTGCGCGCTGTACCATAAAGTCTGTCATTGAGTCAACTGGCGTGGTTTCGAATCACCGGTTGTACGTGGCAAGAAGTAGGGTCGCCTGTCCAACCTCGTGGGTTTTCTCCGGGTCCCCCGGTTTCCTCCCACTGCTAAAGACCCCTACGTGCAAGCGAATTATTGAAATAAAATTAAACCATGTGTTAGTCCCGAAATGACCTAGTTTGTGTTGAGTGGACGTTAAACCCCATTTCTCTCTCTCTCTCTCTCCCTCTCCCTACTTTTTTGCACTTACTAGGCTAATGAAAACATAGGAAGAAGAATCCTTTTGATTTTCAACGATTCAACATTAGATATTAGGTCAGGGCTCTGTTTCATGAAATTTTAGCTAAAGATAAAATCCAAATTTTAGTAGATACTTCAATTTTGATTGGCTAAGCACTAAAATCAATCTAATATTATCCAATCAAATTACTAAAATTTGGATTTTATCTTAGTTAAAATTTTGTGAAACAGGACCCAGGGCTCTGTGTTAAATTTATAGATGTTTTTAAATATTACAAGGGCTGGCTGAAAAGTTCTAAGCCTATCTGTGAAAGACCTATACAAAGTCAATGGTTTCCATATATTTTTCTATATAGTCACCCTTTAAGGTGTACACACTTTTGCCAACGATGACGGTCAGGAAAAAATTTTCTTCTGCCAACCTAAAAAAGTCGCTGACAGCTGACATGACGTCATCATTACTAGGAAAATGACAACCAGCTAGTTCTTATTTCATTTGGCGAAAGAGGTCTTATCCATGGCTGCAAATCTGGCCAAAAAATTATCAGGATCTGCTTCAAAATGGTGCAAATTGTCATGGGACATCAGGAATCTGATACGTTTCTGATCTGCATTCCTAACTCATTGGCGATAATGTGCTGAACCCTCTCATGAGAGATACCCACAACACTGGCAATATGTTGAGTGGTCAGTCATCATCAGCCATCACCATGTCATGCACAGGGGTAATGTTTTCTTGAATGGTTGCTGTTGATGGCCTTCCAGGACGCGGGTCATTGTCAAGGCTCTCTCTGCCACGCTTAAATTCTACAAAACAAATCTTTACTATGGAAAGGAAGGGGCATCGTCCCCAGAAGTGGAGACCTGTTGGGGTTAGTCCTTTCAGTTGCAGGTACGTGATGACTGCCCTATAGCCAGATTTGTCCATTTCTTGTGATTTCAATGGATAGGTTTATAAGATGGTCTAGTAAAAAGACAATAATAACACTACAGGTGCAGTTCTTATGTCTAGCATTCGTTCAATGATTGTACTTCTTGGTGGCAAAAGTGTTTTTCAACCCAATTGATCTATAGATCCTTTTCAGCAGACTTAAACCCCGTTTACATTACAAATTTTAAGTGTGCCAGTCATGGTACCAGGCACAGCACGGTTAATTGTTTTGTAGTGTAACTGGGTCAAAGAGAAACATGCCGTACTGAGTACCGTGCCAATTTGCCCCACTGAAGTGAGGCGTTCTTGGCACAGTGCCAGACACGGTGCGGTTAAATTTTCGTAGTGTAAACGTTATCTGGTCTGAGAACGGTTCTCAGTACGGATTACTGTGCATGCGTCAAATGAACCTTGACCATTTTCCCGCCCCGCGCGAACTTTGACAGTTCTGTCATAAGTTCTGTCAAAATGGCTCACCAAACTAAATCAACTGCCATAATTATTTTCATCTGGGTAATTTGCATTGGGACTGAAATTAACTTTTCTATGAAGAGTTCCACATTTGGCGTGCCTGGCACGGTTCCAAGACCGGTTATTTATCGCGGCCCGGTACCGTGCCAAGAACTGCACGCTTATCGCGATCAATTGTTAAACAGGGCTTTAGAACTTTTTATCCAGCCCTCGTATCTTATAGTAAAATCGATAATATTGAGATAGTGCTTTTGGCCTAAACATTTTTATGGCGGTAAATAACAAAATTTGAAAATGGTCATCAAATAAATGATTCCTCAATGAAATACACATCCTTTCTGATTAATATTGTGATCACCTGCTAATGATCCAATAAAGAAGTCATGTTTATGTGTTGATAAAGAGATTATGATCGTTTAATTCTTCCACGAAGCATAAATTTGTAATAATCATGTTGCCATGTGATGTTACTATGTAGAAAGGTTTTACTTGCGTTTGTAGCTAGAGACAACTGCTGGTTTATTTTCTTGTTTTCATGTAATGATAATACAAAGAAATATCGGAACAAATTTATTGAACTAACAGGAAGAATTCAGATGAGTAAACAATGGCAGATAAATCCATGAAAATGATCCATTGCTTTTGTTTTATTAAGGTTATTCTTTAAAGATATCTTGTAAAAGGTATTTAAGTTTGATCGCACTTCAGCATTTGAAAGTCGAAAAGTTTTATTTGGTGAACAAACCATACATTTCGCGTGTTTGTTACCACGCACTTTACGGTAACATATTTAGAGCTCTGATCTAGCTAGAAATGTTAAAAAATCAGAAATTTTCAAATGGGGGCGGACGATAACCAGATCGGTACTTTTATCAAAGAATTGGAGAACAATCAGTCAAATTTATGCAGATTTATAAAAAAGTTTCAAGGCATCTACAAGGTTTTCAAGGCAGGGACAAAAAAAACCCCAACAAATCAAATATGCTAATATTACAAAAAGGATCATCCTTATTATGATAAGATTAAAGGGTTTATGGCAACTACATGTGGTTAGTGTCATTTCTACAGAGAATAATGGAAGTAGACAGCCTTTATCCCAATTTTCTTTTCTTTTATACTTTTGATGGCCTCTGCTACATGAAGATCTGACTGGTCGTAGTGTAAGGTCGCATCAAAGGTCATACAAGCGGCTTTTGACCCTATGATGTCAGACATCTGATTAACCAATCAGCATTGATCATTCTGGTGGGTTACCCACAGTTCCGTGCACCTCACACCAAAAACTCTCCGTAACAGGCTATTTCATTGGCTAATCCCTCACATCATCCAGAATGCAGGTTATATAACAACTCTTCCAGATCCTAGTGTAGTAAAGACAAGTAAAACAAAGTTTTGAACTATAAAAAAGGAAACGAAATAGAATCTGTATTTTAATCAGATTGTTATGTAGATGAATGAAGTCTGTTTGTACCTACAGAAAAGTGCATTGAAATTAATGTGATTGATGACAGATCAAATTTAACACATTAAATTCTTGTTTTACGGCCCAGTGTTCAAAGCAAAAGCTTATAAATATCTATTACATTTGACATGAAATTAGTTGACACTGGGGCAGTATGTTTACAAAATGATACCTTGATTGTTTTGTTTGAGGGGTCATGGTGGCTAAGTGGGTAAGGCGCTGGCTCGCTAGCCTGAAGGTAGGGTGTACGATCCCTGCATTGGCCGAGAAAGTTCATCCAGATTTTCCGGAGTGGTTCCCCCTTGTCAGTGATGCAGCACAGAGGGCCTGACAAGGAAAGCTGTCTAGTCGTTTGGAAGGGACAAAAAAACGAGGTGTAAACGGGACTCCGAATGGTCAGATTTACTAAGATTGCAGTGAATATATTAATCATCTGCACGACTAGTTTTTAAGAGAGAGAGAAAAGGGGTTTAACATCGACTCGATATAAACTAGGTCATTTCAGGACTAACATATGGTTCAATTTTATTTCAATAGTTTGCCTGCACGTTGGGGTCTTTAGCAGTTGGAAGAAACCGGAGGACCTGGAGAAAACCCACGAGGTTAGACAGGCGACCCTACTCCTATTATACCTATCAATGAAGTTGCTTATATCTGGAGATGGGCTTCTTGTAGGGACAAATTTAGACCATTTAGCAGTGGAAGGAAACCGGAGTACCCGGAAAAAACCCACATGGTTTGACGGACGACCTTACTCCTTGTCACGTAAAACCAGGGAAATCAAAAGCACACCAGTTGACTCAATGACAGACCTTATAATACAACACGCACGCATTAACCATTCATCCATCCAGCCTCCCGGTGGATCAGTGAGTAAGTGGATGTTAAAACCCCATTTCTCTCTCTCTCTCTCTCTCTCTCTCTCTCTCTGTCACTGATCCACCCTGGAGGCTACCATTGACCCAATGCGCGCTAATGCTAGATTCCCTCTGTCGTGCGATGCTGAGTCGTCAAAATCGGGTGCAAGCAGATACGTCCTGATCAACACGATTACTACGACTGGCCACAATATATCATAAGACCCAACAGGATCAACACAATTACACCACGATTAAAACCACGATTTCGATCACCACGATTTCGATTGTATCGTAGCACAAATCGTGGTAGTGGGAACCAAGCATAAAGATAGAAATATATTATCAATTTAACTCCTATTATCATGAGCCTAATATTTAACTAGAAAAAGCTAATTATCCCCACTTTGATAAATCTGCGTATAATATCACGTACATTAAACTTCAAGTTTTTTCCATGCTTATATCTATTATAAAAGTTTATTGTTTTTAGAAATATCTATTATAAAAGTTTGTTTTTAGAAATATTATACACAACTGTATCGGATTGATATTAATGATGTGTAAAGGTCTTTGGTTAGGTATAGTTTCATATTCCTGATAATTGTGTATACATTGTAAAAATTTGTTATTAAGAAATCGAACACTATTTATCAGAAGAGACATTAAAAATATGTGATCATTCGGGGTTTTTTTTTCTCCATTTTCATGCATCCATGACATTTTTCACTTAGTGGGCAGATTAGGCAGTCTGTCAAGTGCAGATCTATATTTTTATCTGCCCACGTTCCAGGTGGACAATTGAAGTTATAACTTCTGTCCGCTGTTAATGCAATTTAGTACATAGGTTGTGATAGAATTTAATAAATTTTGTACACACTTTGTAGAGTTATCGGTGGGGTTGGATGGCTGAATGTTTAGCATGTGCGCGCTGTATCATAAAGACTGTCATTGAGTCAACTGGCGTAGTTGTTCATGACAAGGAGTAAGGTCGCCGGTCCAACCTGGTTTGTTTTATTATTGAAATAAAAAATTAAACCATATGTTAGTCCCGAAATGACCTACTTTGTGTTTGAGTGGACTTAAACCCCAATTCTCTCTCTCTCTCTCTCTCTCTCTCTCTCTCTCTCTCTCTCTGTAGAGTTATCTTTCTGGTCAAATGTTGACTTATAAAGCTTGTTACAAGATATGAAAAAAGTTGGGATGTTTTCAAATTTGGTGGTATTATTGTTGATTTAGGTATATACTTAGAAACCTATAAAAACTTATTTTAATAGCAAATTTTAAAGAATTCTTATGACTGAGATCCCAGACAGATTGTTGGGAATAAGGAAGAATTGGAACATTTTGCAGAGTTGTCTTTCCAATCACGTTTTTACTTTTAAAAAATGCCTTCCCATGTACAAACTGTGTGATTTGATGATATTTTTGGATGATATTTGTCGTTACTAACTGTCCATTTACCATACATATTCAAGCCCAAGTAAATTCGTGGATTATTTTGTGCCAACTTCTTTTTTCGCTGTTTGATTGAAGAATCTTTTGTTCATTTACATCCCTCAATGTTCCCAAAACCGTTTAACTATTCGATCAAGAAATAACTGCCCCATTAGTAAAGCTGGCAGGTAATAAGCTGTCAGGCTGACAGTTAGTGATGCCTAAACATTTTTGCCCAGTGCTTGCCCCATGAGTGTTTTTCGGGTAATCCAGTATTTTTCTAGTAAGATTGGGCATCTATACTTTCTATATATACCAAATTTGCCATACTTTTATTGGAAATAATCACCTGATAAATACTTTCATGAAAATGTATCTTTAAAGGTTGGGGCAATGTTGATTTTTTTTTCAGAACTTACTGTGCCAAATTTTGCAAAATGGATGACTTTGCTGCGGTTGGTGTGGGGGGGGGGGGCATATTGGCATTTAGGAGGATTCCGACAAGCCCCTGTCTCTGTCTTATATTACCTTTCCAGAGAAAATTTGAAATTGATTGTCCCCCAAAAATTGGGTGAAATTTTATATTTGGGGGAATAAAATTGAATGCAACTACTGAACTAGCTAAATAATGAAAATGATGAGGAAATATTTGTACAGGTAATATTATCGTTAGTTGAGAGCTGCAGGAAAATGGAGCGTGAAAATAGAAAGTTAAATCATTTATATTAACTTTTTTTTTTTATCATATTCATATTTTCATCACTAATGTGGATGTTTAGGTAGATTGATGCACATTAAACCCATTTTCTTTTTGTTAAATTTTTAAAAAACATTTAAACGAAACCAAGAGCATTTTAAAATTGCAAGAACAGTTCTTTTCGACAGTTGTTTAGAGAATAAATTCCTGCTGAGGTGAAAACTTAGGAATGAAAGCTAATAGTTTTAGCAGAAGACACCATCATACATTATGGCGCATAAAAAGCTACAATTGTGAGCCTCAAGTGTTGCCAAAATGTTAAAAAAAAATGCCAAATTGTATAAGGATTAATCATTTATACCAGGTTTGTCTTCTACTTCATTCTGTATTGTGCAAGGAGATGGAGGAAAGAGAGATTCCCCTCTCAACCAATGAGAAAGCTGTATTTATTTATAGGTTATGACGTGGTGTCTGGTGTAACAGGGAGTACATGGTTATGTCTGGTATAGTCAGACAGCTAGCTAGCTGAGCTTTCCTTGCTTTGTGCTTTATTTTCTGTCACATCGCTTCTCTTCGACACACAAGTGGTACGCTTTTCACATGGCAACATCATGTCTTCTCAATGTGGATAGTGATATGGATATGTAAGTAGGCATTTATCTATCTCTCCTAATATGATGTTTGGTGAGTATGTTACTGTGACCCACTTTGTCCTTTTCTCACCTATGTGGATGTATGACAGTTATAGAATTGAGGTCGTTTAAGGCCATGGTATTTAAGAGATCGCACATGGTTTAAGAGACCATCAGTATGGGTAGGATTTAAATGGAGTTTAGGTCAACTTGCTCTCTGTGCCTCCAGGGATTCTACTATCAGATTATGATGTAACATCTTTGTGCAGAAATCTTAAGGTAGTTCTTTACACTATTTAAGACATTTAGTGATGATCTTTAAGATGTCTTGACAATGTGAAGTGACATTGTTTTTCTCGATAAGGACAATAGTACGTACTGTTTATTATTTAGACATTCACGTAAACGGTAAAATATGTCCATATTGTCTTCAAATCATCGCTCTGTTTAAAGATGGTGTCGGTCTTGAGAAAGACCATCATAGCTAATGACTTAAGACGAAAGGCTCGGAGAAGTGTCATTAATATACGTTGATCACCTTATAAGCTACAACTGTGTGCTGTCCAAGCTATCTAGAAATTAGATTTGTGTAGGTTGTGACAAATGATCATCTTTTTTCTAATATAGAATTATTATTTTTTTTTTACTAATGTTACTCGCATTGTGTTAAATCTCATGGGGGTGGAGTATGGAAAATCTTTTAATATTTTGTGATGGAAATTTTTGACAAAATTTATTATAAAGAATTTAACTATTTTTTAAACGGAATATTTTGAACTAAATTTGTATAATTTTGGCTTAACTATAAATATTTATTAATGATGTACGGCACACGCATGAATATTTTACTAATAAGTCTCAAGAAGAAGATTTAAGATTTAAATTTTAACTTTTTTTACAACCAAAATTAAGAAAGATCTAAATATTATATTTAAATATTAACCTTGTAATATAGGATCCATTGTTTAAGAAATCCTACTTTTTTTCTTAGTAATTATTGCAATTTGTATTAAATTGAATTTATTCAAATGAAAAATGTATTTAATATTACATAGATAAATTTCAATATTTTTTTTTTTATCAAGCGGAAAATCAAATGTTGGTACCTGATTCAACATGTTTAAACTTTCACATAAATTATCATATTTGAATATTTTATAAAAACAATAATTCAAATCATTTTACATATTTTAGTATGAATATCAAAATTGAGAACATCTGCTCGCAACAATAAGTTTTAGTTTTCCGGCAATGAAATCAAGTAGAACATAGATAACAAAATATAATCGCGTTTGAATTTGCGTAATGATTATTTTCTATGTTACGCGTAGGTATAGATAAGCTATAAAAACGATAGACTATCATAGTTTGACATACCAGGTACCTAAGATAGAGAATTCGTTTAGGTATATAAGCGACATGTTTTATCGAATGTATGTACCGGTATATGAATAATAATATCAATATCGGTCTGTTTATAAAAATAAATTGTTGTTTATCATAATAAAATCTAGCTCTTGTATTACCAATAAAAATTTAATAGCTTATTACCTACATAAAACTCATTTTCAAAAAAAAAAAAAAAAAATGACAATGCGATAAAATTGAGTGATATCATGCGTTAAATATTAAAGTTTCTTTGTAGGCCTATTTCAGTTTATTATGTATGGTTTCGATAGATTAAAAAGAAATAGTCCTTTAGAACAAGAAGACTGTTTTCTTTTCAAAATTTCACAGTATTATGAAATGTTTGTAAAGAAACGCTTTTAAGACGCAATAATATTACATTCACAAAACAAATTATGTATCTTTAATATCATGTCCTATTTAAACTAGTTTTAGGCTTTCCTAATCATGCGTTTTAAGGATTGTCGTTTTTTTGTTTGCCCTAATCTGCGTGGAACATCATACAGGGGTTTAAATCCAATATCTGTATAGAACAGCAGTATATATACCGCTTTTCTGTCAATTTATTAGTGTATATTCTATACCGGCCGGGTTGCATTTTTCTGACAGCAAAATTGACTGTTAAAATTGTACTTGATGGAAAAGAAGTGAAATTGGGGTGGACATCTCACTTCTCTGCACTGATCACGCTAATCAACTGATCAGTTAAACACTTAGGTCATGGTTTCGGGATTTAGTGAAATTTGACATGAAATTAGCATAAACATGGTGTCCTGTGGAAAAGTTTTAGAGAATTATATAAGATTAATTATAAATGAAATGACATTTGCAGTTTTTGAGAAAAAATTCAGTGTTCAAGGCTTAATCCACAATCAAATGGATAATTTAACTTGGAATTAAGAAAATAAAATCAAAATATTACTAATAGATTATCTCCCGGATAATCTCAATCGGATTAAAAAGATGCTCATAAAAAAATTACAGTGAAAATTATGTATGATGTTTCCACCATATCCTGTGTAACATCTTCAGTGGACGCCGAATATTGACAAATTACGTATGGTGTTCCGACCATATACTATATAACATCTTCAATGGACGTCAAATATAGACAAATTTTCAATTCATTGTAACTTTGTTAAACACATTTTTACACTAATATTCCTTTCAGAGATTGAACTTTTACAATATTATGTCTTTCAAAAGATTAAAACCTGCTGAAATGACAACAATCGGTGACTTTAAGATAAGCTATCTTTTAAAAACAAAGGGTATCAGAATTGTAATAATGTATTGTTATTTCTACATATAAAAACAAAGGGTAACGTTTGAGGAATTTAGATTCTATTTATCAGAATTGTAATATGTATTGTTATTTCTATATACCTATATATACGATCGGCCTAAGGTTATATATTTGATATTAATGTTCTCCATTTCTCCTCCTGCTAAATCTGATCAACTCATAAGGATTAAATTTAGAAATACAATGTATTAACGTATGTTCTATAATTACTACTTTACGATCAATATGAGGGGATATTTTACTGAATAAATGTTATTTATTAAATATTTATACTCTACAAAGATAATGATACGCCTACTGTAACTCGCCACTGGGCTGAAAATCAGCATATGTCTGAGGTATCAATGTCTTTGACAAATCAGACAAGTAAATCACCTGACAAAAATTATCTAATTTAGAGATTTCATGTCTGGTATAGTATTAAAAATATAATGTTTTTGTCAGATTGAATTTAACCCGCAGAAAATAAAAAGGGTATTTTGAACATTTTTTTAGATTAATGGGTATTACCATAACAATGGTGGGCCGGGATTTATTTTTGGCTTATAGATTTAAAACATTTGGACATAAATATTTTTTAAAATGGATAATGTTTTACAGATTGCAAACCTTTCTACACCACACAATAGTGTTTTCCATTCCAAGCTGTTTATTTATATGGGTTACTGTCTTAATGTAGGGTGGGGGGGGCATGGTGGCTAAGTGGGTGAGACACTGGCTCGCTAGCCTCGAGGTCGGTTGTTCGATCCCTGCATTGGCCGAGAAAGTTCATCCTGATTTTCCTGACAAGGACAGATGTCTAGTTGTTCGGATGGGACGAAAACCGAGGTCCAGTGTACACATTGGTATGCACATAAAAGACCCCTTGACAGTTGGAATTCGATATAAGAGTAGGCTGTAGTGCCGCTGTCTGGGCAAAATTTCCCTCATAGCACACTGTATGGTGTATGTCCGTCTTAATTAGCACACTGTATGGTATATGTCCGTCTTCATTAGCCCAATTCAGAGCAGAACAGTAGGACGTTAAACCCCATTTCATTTGTCTTAATGTAGAATATGGAAATGGAAACTCCAAATTCGCAAACTTAAAAACCTATATCTCATATATATATATATGCTAGGTAGAAGCTCACTGTAACCTGGGTATCATTTAATCTTGTGTATCTAGCACTAATTTCTTTCAAATTCACTCAATATTCAATCTTTGTTTAAAAATTCGTAAAAACTGTTTAAAATCACCATAAAATGTGTAATTTGTACTTGTGTCAAGTTTAAAGCTGACCATTCAATTTTGATAACGAGTGTCCAATTTACAAGTGTTTAATTTCTCAATCACTGTTACAAAATAAGGTAGCCTTTTATCTGGAAGACAGATCAGGGGTGGATGTCTATAATTTGTCAATGATAAGAAAATGTAATGAGGCAAAAGAACGTTGTTATGAAATATCAGTTTTGCTGTGCAGTGCAATGTGTTAATGTCTGTTAGTATTAAAAGAGGTTGGATGTAGGCTAACAAGAATGCCAGGAATTTGGCCACAGTGAAAGTTATTGATGTATTCATACAGCTGGAATAGCAACATTTTATTGCGCGACAGTCTAGACTTCAATTATTAACATTCATGTGGAGGTAATAATTGTGGTCCATCAATAATCAACAGGATTTGACAAGAGCTTGTAGAAATGTTTGTTTCATAAATAAAATTATATATTATTAATATCCAGACGAAAGTCTATTAATGTGAAATAGTAGGTAGGAATATTATGTATTCTCTCTTGGCTCTCAACTATATGACCCTAACTTAAAGATACATTATGGGAGATTTTTATAGAGAGTTGGCCATTCTTGCTATAACAGTTCAAAAGTAGATAATGAAAGAAGAATATATTGAAAAATTCAGTCAAATTACTTTATTCTGAACATAGTTATCATCGTTGTAATATTTGCCTAGAAATGGTAGCGAATTGTGTGTTCACCTTCGCTGATTGACAGGCGTTAACTCCACCTACATATCTCGATTATCAAGTAAAGTTTTCAATGGCATACGGAAACGC